TGACATTGCCTGCTGATATAGGAGAGGGCTGACACTTCTTAGGGATGGAGGTCAAACAGGAAGGTACCTAACCCCAGCTACTGTTTGTTTTGCGTGTGAGGTGGAGGGCAAACTGCTCTTTCCATAACTCCCCAAACTGTAGCAGATGCTTGGGAAATACTCTTCAGGTACATGGAGGGTGTGGCCCTTCCTTTTCTCCTAAACCCAAGGAAAACAGATTTCACTGCAGGTGCCCCAGCCACAGTCACAACCATTACCCACCACCAGGTGGCACGTAGTGGGGAGGGGACTTTTCTGAATCTGAGCCCCTAGTTTGGATGAGAGTAAAGAATGAGCAGGAGGCAGAGACTTTTGACTTTTTGAGTACCCGGAAAGACTGAGGAGAGCTAATTTTAGGCAATATACACTTTCACCAAAAGTTTCTTTTCAACCTATTATGAGTTAAAGTCCAAACTCTTTGTAGCCTCATCACCAATCAATGAAATACATGGCTTCAGCATTTTACTGGTTGGAGAAAGAGGTGTGTCCTTTGGCTCCTGGCCCAGAGGTGGGGGTGGGGAGTATTTGGGGAGTGCAGAGAGGGGTTTGGAGTGCTTTTACTGCAAGCTGGTGGTTGTCACCCAAGCACAAAGTGTGTCCCATCCTCCTCAGCTCCCTTCTCCCTTGGACAGTTTGATTTCCTTCTAGACTAGGCAATGTGATCAGTCCATGCTGGCTCAAACTGGTCTGATAAGATTTTCTCAACGTGGTGCAGGTCTCTGGGGCTGGTGAACTTTGAGGTCCGTCCGCTCAAGAACAAGAGAACTCACTCAACAGCTTCCCTCTGGGCCCCAGATCAAGAAGTTAAAGTCAGGCAGTGCCAGGTAGGAGTGCTGGGGGGTGGGGGTGGGCAGTTCACAGATGCCTAGGACAAACAGCCTCCAGGACACTCAGGATGGCATTTTTTTAAACTGACCGCTGACAGGCTGAGGGAGTTTGTTTTAGTACTGAAAACCACAGGAACAAAATCCTTTTGAAAGGAAAGCTAAGTCGTTTCACGCCACCAAAGTGCAGATTTGGTGAAGAATGACTGATGGGACAAAGCAGTGAGGGGCTAACAGGCGGGTTCCCAGAGAGCAAGGAGAACTTGGGCAAAAGCAGGAGGCAGCATGAAAAGGTGGGGTGAGCCAGAGGGGGCCCTAAAACCTAAAATTGACACTGAGCCAGCCCAGGGCCTTCTCCCCCTCCTAACCACCCCCAGACTCCCACTTCTCACTTTTCTTTTAGAAGATGGAAGAAGATGGAAGAAGGGGGGTGGGGGGAAATGGATTTAAGAAAAGTGAAGGGCAAGGGGTGCAGCAGGGAAGTAAAAAGGAGAGGGAGGGAGAGGCTCAGAATGGGAGCTGAGAGGATGAGGAAAGGAAAGACCCCCGGAGAAAGGAGGGAGAAGCGGGCTGAGGAAGGCTTAGGCTTAGGGGAATGCGCCAGGGGGTGTGGAGTTCACTTTCCAAGTAGGGGAGGAGGCTATTGTTTTTGGCGCCTAGGAAACCTTCGGAAGCTGCCTCTTACTTTCCCTCCACCTCCCTTCAGTGTTTGGTAAATATTAACAAACCAGGGCCAGTTACTTTCTGGAGTGTGGATGGAGGGGCTGGCCAGGACCAAGGAGGGTCTTCCTCTCCAGACGTGCACCGCCCCCCAACCTCTGTCCCACAGCTCACGTGTGCTGTGGTGTGCGCGCACGGACACACACACACACACACACACAGTCACACACACTCACTCATATGCACACACCTGCTTGACAACAGAAGGAATCAAAATCAATATTGTATTTGTCACCCCTCTGTCTCCTTTTTACTCCCTCTGCAGCCCCAGTGCCACTGAAGCGAATTGTAGATTTATGGAGGGAAATTAGCATAAATTATTACGAAATCTGTAGCCGTGTGTGGTCCAGCTTGTGGGAAAAGAGGCTATTGCGAACTCTCCAAGCAGAAAGGTGGTCGGTGGTGGGCTCCGCCTGAGGCGATGAATGGCTATTGCACGAAAGGGATTTCCATTTGGTTTGCACATGGGTATAATTGACTTATGTGTATTTTATACAGTTTTCCCAACAACTCCCTAAGCCTCCGGGTCGGATGTGCTCCCTTCCCCAAAGCTTCTGTTTGCTTTGGGTTCTGTACAATAGACTGATGCACTTTTCAAGATTTCTGGAAAGTGCTCCTTCCCTCTTCTATATAATAGCCCTCTTAAACACTGTAAAAAAGCAACCAAGTTCCCTGTCCCTCCCCCCACCCCCACCACCTCTTTGTAGATCTTTAGCAGGGACTAAGTTACAAGTTTGTAACAAAGTATGATTTAATGTACATCTACCAGCTCCTCACCCCAAGTCAAGGCAAACATGTACTAATAGATCCAATTTCCTTAATTAACCCTAGGCATGGAATTATGCCCTGTCTCCCAAACTTTGAAGATTCCGACATGAATTCTTAACCATTCCCTCACTTGTCCCAAACTTGGTGGTGACAACTTTCCCGGGGAGATGGACAAAGGTTTATTTCAACTTAGATTTTTTTTTTAAAGAAAACATTTCCACTTTTAGAATTTAGTTAATCTTCTGTTTACTCTGAGCAGTGATTTTGACAGCCATACAAAGACTCTTTGCAAGGCAACAAAATGCCAATTGTTAAAGCAAGAAAACAATTTCTCTTCCATCTTCAATGCTCAAGATGCCCAAACAGAAACTCAGTAGAAAAAGATCTTCCTGACTGTTACTGGGAAAACAAAAATCTTTCACTCCTAGTATTTATATCTCAAAGTCAACCTAACATTTTCTGTTTCCATATGAAGATGTTCCTACTAGCTAAGTGGATCCTAAAACCCTTTAGGGACGTTGATGCTACTCCTCCTCTTTCCTAGGCACATTCCTGCCTCATTCAGGTGTGCACCCACATTTTGTACCTCTGAAGTCAACTGCCTTCTGCAACAGGAAACATGTGGACCAATGCCCTTCTGCCTGGAAAACACAAACCCTCTCTACTGTTTTTCATAGGTCTCAGGTTCCCAGACTTCCCATTTCCTCCCAAACCAGTACCTTACAGTCAAATGTGGTTACACCAAGTACCCCCCAAATGCCATGCATCGCTAGGAACAGCCTCCAGCCAAAGCCCTGCAAAAGTTCCACCCCTGTCCTCCTATATATCTGTGGAGGGTCTATTTGCCCTTCCCCACCCTGCCCCAGAGACAGGTCAGCAGCCCATCGCACCTACTTCCTCCTGCTAGTTATTCTTTCTGAATTAAGAAGGTGACATTATTCTTTGCTTCAAGCACTTCTGTTAATATTGAAAAACGTGCGCTTGCATTTCAAGCAAGGCAGCCTAGACGCAAGATCCATTTCAATATTAATGAAATTGTTTAATCTCCTAAATTCATCGTGTTTAAGTTACGTTTTGGTGAGTTATTGACTACCTACGAAACTGTGGTTAAGGGAGGCGTGTGTGTGTACACGCGTGCACACACACGCAATGAAGATCTTTTTTTACACTAACCCCAAACAACCCCACTAATAATGCACTATCACTGAAAGTGTCAAAACTTGACACCTAGAACTCTCCCACCATCACACCACCCCCATCTCTTCTGCCCCTCTTGGAAAAAAAAAAGTTTTCAATTTTTCATGTGAAGATGATTCAATATGGACAGCAGGTATTGTGTTTTTAACAATGCAGTTAAAAGGAATAGTTTAAAACCATAAAGACTACACAACATATAATGAGCAGAAGCTAGTGGGAATCCTAGAGTCTACTCCCAGATTGTTTGCTAGAGGCGAGGCAGACTCGCTATTAATTTCAGAGCAATTTGGTGGTGATGATGATAATGACAATAATAATAACAATTCATGGAACCTCCCTAGACAAATCCAAACCAGAGGAAGCCTACTGTCCTGACCCAGGAGGCACATCCTCACTGTCTCCAAAGAAGGAAGCTCACTGTGTTTTTGCGAGTCTTAGAAGGTACCTTTGTTTTAGTGGGCACTGGCATCTAAGCTGAGTGCTCTAAAATCCTTAATTCTCTTTATCCAAAAAAAAAAAAAAAAAAAGGTGGTGGTGGGGGGGGGCAGGGAGGCACAAGAGTTCCGGCTGTAAAATGCAATCTTCCAGACAGCGCCTACCCCCTAAAGTTTCAAACCACCTGGGGAAAGGGAGAGACTCTGCTGTTCATCTGATGGTAGTATGGCAAACTCGGGTCTCCCGGCTTGCACACTGTCTACCCCAACATCCCCAGCGCATTCATCCTGTGTCTAATGAAATTCCTGAAGACTTTTAAAGTGAAGACCTTGTCTAATCACCCAGATTCAAGATCCTATTTATTTTTTAATTTGACCGATACATTTAGATTCAAAGTGGGCTCTTACACGTGGCTGTCCATTATATTTTTGCGATTATTTTTTTAACCCCTTCACTTAAAGTTATACACCCACTGAGCAGAACTAAGGCACTAAGGCAGTAGCCTAGCAAGGTCAAACAAAACTTTCACCTGCCTTTTGCAGGACTGGGGGAGAGGGGGAGGGTGTATTTTCATCATAATAATACAAGCAACAGGCCCCGGGAATAATGCCACTCACAGGAAAAGGGTTTGCTTCAGGGGGAAGCAGTGCCTGAAGTTAGCTAACAATACAAACCCGATACAATGCGGAGGAAACAGAATACCCCAGCCAAGCAATTTCCATGTCAAACATCATCTGCGCCGCAGTGGTCTGTGAACGTGAGTGGTCGCCTGAATCCCTGCTTCGCGTCGGCCGCCTCCTCATACCTTCACACCGCGCACAACCTGGCCGGCGCGTCCCGCTCCCCGCCGGTAGCCGAGGTTCTTCCCCCTCGCCCAGTCTTGAGCTGGAAGTGATTCCTATTGGCCAAGGTGTCCATGTAAATAGGTGTGAAAGAAATCAGAGCTGGCCAGGCTCTCCTCTCGCTCAGTCCCCTCCCTCTGCAGCCCCCGCTACCCCTCCTCTTCCTCCTCCTCCCAAGGCGATTGTCATATGATAGCTAAGAAGTGGCACATTAATGAAGCGCCTCTACAGGGGTCTTTTCTGCTCCTGTCACCGCTTAAAACTATCAGATGGTTCGAGGGAGGACATGGAGGCAGCCACCTAGCTCAGCGGAGCCCGGGATCCCAAAGCAGCACCCTCCGGAGCCCCGAGGCCGCGGCTGCCAGCGTCCGCGCCGGGACTGAGCAACTGAGCTCGGCCGCCCGCGGAGCGCACCGCCAGAAGCGCAGCGGACCCGGCGGCGCGGGGCGCTGCGGGGCTGAGCAGCTAAGCTTAGTGCCCTGCGGAGCCCAGTCCAGCCCGGATACTGCGCCCCGCCAGCGTGCTGTGAGGTACGTGGCGAGCAGCAGCGCCATCCCGAATGCGGACGACCAACTTGGAGTAACTTTAAGGTGAGCCACTGTCGGTTGCATCCTTTCCCCTGATTCCGCTCCAAGTGCAGTTTACTGCCTTGCTATCTTCGCGCCGCTCGCCGGCTTTCCCTTACGAGCCCCTAGCTGCACTCAGCTCCGCTAGCAAAGTTGCCGACTAAAAACACCGGCGCCTACTCATCCCCATACCCGCCACCCTCGAAGTCTGTACTCGGCCTGGCTGACCTCGCAGTGTCTGTCTGTGCATCCTCTCCCCACCCCCATTTTCTCCCCCCCCCCCTTGTAGATCCCAGCAGCCGCTGGCCCGCGCGGACCCCGAGCAAAGAGGCAAACAAGAAGATGCCTCGGCCCGGCCGCAACACGTACAGCGACCAGAAGCCGCCCTACTCGTACATCTCGCTGACCGCCATGGCCATCCAGAGCTCTCCTGAGAAGATGCTGCCACTGAGCGAGATCTACAAGTTCATTATGGACCGCTTCCCCTACTACCGAGAGAACACGCAGCGCTGGCAGAACAGCCTGCGCCACAACCTTTCCTTTAACGATTGTTTCATTAAGATCCCGCGGCGGCCCGACCAGCCGGGCAAGGGCAGCTTCTGGGCACTGCACCCCAGTTGCGGGGACATGTTCGAGAACGGCAGCTTCCTGAGGCGCCGCAAACGCTTCAAGGTGCTCAAGTCCGATCACCTGGCGCCCAGCAAGCCAGCCGACGCCGCGCAGTACCTGCAGCAGCAGGCCAAGCTGCGCCTCAGCGCCCTGGCGGCCTCGGGCACGCACCTGCCGCAGATGCCCACAGCTGCCTACAACCTGGGCGGCGTGGCACAGCCCTCGGGCTTCAAGCACCCCTTCGCCATCGAGAATATCATCGCGCGCGAGTACAAGATGCCAGGGGGACTGGCGTTCTCAGCCATGCAGCCCATGCCTGCCGCCTACCCACTCCCCAACCAGTTGACTACCATGGGCAGCTCGCTGGGCACTGGCTGGCCACATGTGTACGGTTCCGCGGGCATGATCGATTCGGCCACCCCAATCTCCATGGCCAGTGGCGATTACAGCGCCTACGGTGTGCCGTTGAAGCCTCTGTGCCACGCGGCGGGCCAGACGCTGCCCGCCATCCCGGTGCCCATCAAGCCCACGCCGGCCGCAGTGCCCGCGCTGCCCGCGCTGCCCGCACCCATTCCCACCTTGCTCTCGAACTCGCCGCCCTCGCTCAGCCCCACATCCTCACAAACAGCCACCAGCCAAAGCAGCCCGGCCACTCCCAGCGAAACGCTCACCAGCCCGGCCTCAGCCTTGCACTCGGTGGCGGTGCACTGACCCGCAGCAGCCGGCGCCCCCTCTTGCTCCCTTCCCCCGCCAACTCACTTGCCTAACCCCGGCTCCCAGCCCAGTGCTCCCCGACCTGGGACCGCCACCCTCTCTAGTCTGTTTCGCCTTTGACCAACCCTCTTCATCCCCTCGAAAACTTTGTTTTGAACCCAGGAGACAGAACACAAACTTGCAGATGGGCCTGGAGGCGAATGGGACTTGTCTTGGCCCCCACAATAGAAAGGCAGGGGCACCTGAGTCAAGCCGTCCCGTCCCCAGGGCCGCGAAACCCCCCCCCCTCCCATTTCTGGGGGGGAAATCCTGCCTCCCGCCTCCGCGGAGAGAAGCGCCTCTTTTCCTCGGCGGGATCCGCGGGGCTCTGCACGCCGCGCAGTTCACTCCAAGACCAGCGAAACAGCCTCAGAGGTTCTCTTCAACAGATCTCCCCCCCGGGCTGCAGCAGCACAATGGAGGTCCGGATCTCTGTTTACGTCTTGGAAATCTGCCGCGAAAAGGGACCACTAATCTTCCCACCCCACTCGCCTCCGCCCATCCCGCGGCGGCTGGGCGGACCACAGCTTCCCGCAGTAGGGCTCAGCCTCCCCGTCTTTTGCAGAGGTTTTTTTGTTTTGTTTTGTTTTGGGTTTTGTTTCCTGCCAGAGGCTCCAGGCGCTGGGAGCTAGGGGAGAGGCTGCCAAGTTGGGAAGGGGACGCATGTCCTCAACACAGGCAAAACAAAACTAAAAGTAACCTTGTATTGTTTACAATGTGCCCGGTAAAATGTAAACAGTGAACTTGAATCTGTCTAGCTTGGCGGGCGAGCGGGCAAAGCCCACTTAACAAGTACCTGTTGTAATGTGAATGTTTACTCTTCATTTCTGACCAGGTTGAGGGGAGGGGAGGGGGGGGATAAGAAAGCTAATTGGGATGTTAACTTTCCGATTACTTAAGAGACCTTTTTAGCTATTTATTTTATTGTTGGGGGTGGGGGTGGGGGGAAGATAAAATTAGCCCAAGCCAAGAAAGCACCAAGGGCACGCTAGAAGAACTTAAGATAAGCTGACTTAACAGAAGATGTCACCAGATAGGTCTCCCATGGACAAGTCTTTCTGTTTGCTACGAGAACTTTTCCAAGAAGCTAAAGGGCTGCAAAGAGATGTAAATGCTTGTGAATAGGAATGATTATACACTGTGTAAAATGCACTTTTGTTTGCTATATTCCTTTAGAGTCCTAGGTAATTTGCTGGAAAACAAACTGTTGTTCTGGTGTGACCCGCTTAAGTTAAAAAAAAAAAAAGTTGTAGTCATCAGAGCTGTAAAATTTTTACCTTTCATGGTCCCTCCCTGTACAGAACTAGCATGGCATTTTAAATATTGATGTTCTTATTCCCAGCATGCCTGTTTTAAGACAAAGAATTTTAAAAAGGTGTCTACATTAAATTATGAACCTAGTCCAAATAATATTTTCTCATTAAAATATGTAAATTAAATTTTAGTTTTGTGTGTTTTTGAAGATTTGCTGCTAACAATAACTTTATAAAAGATACATGTAGTGATTCTCTAGGCATGCTTTCTGCAATACATTGTGTAGTTTGTCTTTCTCATTTTACTTGGGAAATAGTCAGCTCGCCTCTTAGGCACTTGCAGATTGGAGGAAAAATTATTTTGATGGACTCATAATGGTATTTGTGGATAGGGAAAGTGGCATACAAACTTTAGTATACACCAGGTGCACAGGTAAAAGAAAATTTTATACTGAAAAAAAGTATTTTATATATATTTTTTGTCTATCTTAATATGTACATTTTATAGAATATACAGTACTTATATAAATGTAAGGCTTGTGTAGAAATCAAGTTGAGATGATATGAAAATACCAAAACTAAAACCAAACTTGCCTGCTCAATTCCTACATTCTGTTGCATCTTTTTTGGAGTATTCATTTCCTTGCTCCTTTAAATTATGGCAGTTGTTGAAATTTTCTTTTTCAGAAGTTTTCTGAAGTTTGTCTTGTGTGTCAAGAAACCTGGTTCACTTTGAGGTGAAAAGAAATTATTTCATTCCTTCACATGGAAAAATAATGCTTGATGCATCTATTTTAAAGAAGTGAATGAAGTAACTTTACATGCTTGACTCTGAGTATTTGCTTTTCTTCAGATTTTTGCAGAGAATTGAGATTTTCCAAAAAACATATGGCTCAAGGCCAATTGCAACTTTATTGAAGGGTCACAATATTTCCAGAGTAAGGTGTGTATTCAAGTAATGAAGTTACAAGACAAAGAGAGACTGAAATGGTGATTAACACTTTACTGTGTAAAATGATTAAACAAGAGACCCTTGTGCAACACGGAGAAACCCACATAGACATCAGAATCACTCACTACACAGCGTAGGGAGAATCTTTAACACCTGCAGCCCTTATATTTAGAGGGCTGTTTTTAAAAATTAGGATTAATGCAAAGGGTAATTAATCCTGTTGTGGCCATTTTTCCTTAAAAGAAGGATCCCACACACAGCCAAAAAAAAAAAAAGGTGGGAAATAAATGAATCATTGGACTGATTAAAATGCATGAAGCTACTAAAGCTCGTCAGACAGGGGACAACTAAACTCATTCATCAAGCCCAATTCACAATTATATCAACAAAATCAACTAAAGAAAGCCTGGAAAACGTATCCACTCTGGGCTAGGAAACTCTTGAAACTTTGTTCTCCACAAGAAATCATTCACATTAAAAAGTATACACTCTTTTTCATCGTTCTTTACAAAATAAAATCAAAGTCATCTCTGGAATGTTCTAATCTCATTGAATTTAGTAACACTGAATTTGAACTGGGAATGAGAGATACATAAAGGGCTAATAAGGGTTTCAAACATTTTATAAATTATTAGCTTAGTCCGGTATATATTCTTCCTATAATAGGCACTGGAATTCGGAGATTAGTGATATGTACAAACACATTTAGTAAATGGAGCTAAAGAAGATACAGATCCTATTTCTGATTTTTAGCAATGGACTCAGTATTTGAAAATGTTCTTTTCAGCTGGTAAGTTCGTCATGGTGTATTGCAAAGAATGAAATAACTTGGGCATTGTGAGTCCTCCTTTTCACCAATTGTAGGCATCTTTTCTCAGACAAGTTGAATGAGTAAAGTAAGAAATCCATTGATGATATTTTGACCTTGATCAAAAATCCAAAGGCAGCCCAAACAGACATGCCTCCATCCCACTCCATCCTGCCTTCATCGCTAGCTTTCAGACTGACATCCTTTTTAAGCTGAAGTGCCCCACAAATAAGGAAGTTTATAACTATGATACCTTCAATGGCTCTCTTTGTCATGTTAAATATTTTCACCTGGCTCAAGTCCAGAGTCAATATACACAGCTTTAAAATAAAACTGTGGCACCACGAAGGTGAGTATGTTGGGTCTTATCCTGAGAATCCAATATAAGTTATAATGTTCTCTGTTTTGTTAATTTGGACAGCACTGAGTTTTTACTTTAGATCTTTGATTTGGAAACTTGGTTATTCTGTACTCTGAGGTGTTAACATGATTCTGTATTCAATTGTGTTTGCAATTGGCTTTCTATGTGATTTGGGGAGTGCTTACACAATGGGTGAATTTTGTGTTCTTTCTCAAGAGAGAAGCTGCAGAAGTTCTAACTGCTTCCACTGCTTGGATTGGGAGCTTTTGAGAAGCTTGAAGGCTAGTTGGAGCAGATGTAGTAAATGATCCTCAGAACTGCTTAAATATTGCAGCAGCAAGTTTACTTCCTTTTAAATAGATGAGAAACACTGGGTGTCTTGAAAGCATACATCCAGCCTGGTAGAGTGGGTGGAATTAGGGGTGGGAATAGAAAGAATGTAATCTAGCAGCACAAACTGTAGGTCTTACATTAGTTTAGGCAAGGTTGTGTGGTGGATGGGGGACTGTTTATACTTTTACAATGGGGACTCCCCTTGCAAAAGGTATCTATTTAAGAAATGGAACGGAGTAGGATCTGTTCCTAAATTCTTAATATAAATGTCAATTTTTTTTCTCCTATAGGTATGCGCAGAGATACCTAAACAAAAAAAAACAAAACAAAACAAAAACAACCCAAACCACCGGCTGTGAAGCCTCAAAGGGAATGCATTTGTTTCGTTTAAACTAACAACAAATTATCTAATTAATATGTTTCAATTACAGCATGAAAGGCACAGCCCCTGGACCGCCCGCAGTGGGGGTACAATAGCCCCAGAACCCACTTTAGGAATTTACAATAACTTCACATCTGTTTCTTTATTTTCCACTTTTTGAGTCTAAAACTCCTCTCAAGATCACTTCAAACCATGGCCTGAGTTATGAAATATGCCCCGGTGTTAAAGGGGGACGAAACTTTGCCCACTGATGCTTCATTTGCAAGCAAAAAAAGTGAAAGCCCATTGAAGAGCATTAAACAAATATATTAGAATTCTGTCACTTTATGCAATTGAGTAGATCAAATGAAGGGTCCCGGCCACTTCATTCACTCTCATTCACTCGAATAGAAAATGCAAAGAATAGCAACCCGAGACTGGGCCACCGATGTAGATTTAGCTCCTTTTTACTGGGAGACAAAAAGGCTGAATTTTCACAAACACATTGCTGACTCGGGGACTAGGAAACCGGCACTGGAACCCCTTTGGAATTTAAATTCATTTTATCTTCCTCCCTCTTTGCGGGATCTGTTTGCACTACAGTGCAAGATGCAGCAGGCATCCTCTGGCTCTGAAAAAGTGGGGGAAGGGAAGAAAGTGTGTGGGGGTGGCAGTGTGGGCTTCTGGATTCCCAAGGAGCTCTTGGTCATCAGTTAACACTCCAGTCTGCATTATTAACGACGATTTAAACAAATCTTTGTCTACATCAACATAACAACATTACATCTCCGGTTATCTCCAGACTTTACCTCCCTGCTTGGTATCAATTGCATAAACAGTTTGTTTTCAAAGATTAGAATCACTTCTGGGCTATCCGTTTTTTTCTTCTTTCAACTAATATCTGGTCCTTGGTCTCACAATAGACTTGAGAGTTGAGCTTTCGATATTACCTGCTCAACTCATTCTCTCTCTCTCTCTCTCTCTCTCTCTCTCTCTCTCTCTCTCTCACACACACACACACACACACACAGTATGTTTTCAGATAGCTACACTCTCTGAGCACCATGATGGTAAATGTGTTATATAAAATCAGGCGATAGTCCTT